AAAAAAAACAAACCATTTTCCGCGCGGGAAAAACTTGGATATACAACTAGTACACCTTCGAGGTACTGTACAAGGAACCACTCGACAATGACAAGATTCTTTTATACTTAGCACAATTTTGAAGAATAAAACAAACCACCAAAATCGCCTCCACGGCCGAGAGTGATGTTGTACTTGTTGGCCGCCTAACCGCGGTCTTCCTTATTTTTATACTAATGTGGTGGACAAATATGCTGCCGGTATAGGTGTCTGGGTATGTGCCCTTCCAGGCCATCATTTCCTACTGACTGTTCCTGGACTTTCGCTCCGTCCCATTTTTGGCCATGCATTTGGTGTTTATCTTTCTTTCTTCCGTCGAAGTTGTCGCCTTCGTCGCAGCCGTTAGCCAGATTGGTTATCGCATTGGCTCTCTCGCGGCACCACAAACTGGTGATTCAAGGTCATCGAGCCCGGACAGCGGCGTATCATGGCCATCGTCTTCAAGGGGTATGAATAATTACTCTGTGGGATCCCGAAATGGAAGCGCTGCTCCCCAGCCCTTCGACGATGGTTCCACCTTCTGCAGGTTTCCAATCTCACCCACCCGCTGGCCGACGACGACTAAGGAAGGGGGCAGTCGCGTTAGATCGTCAGCATTTGAGGGTAGGGATTTTCCGTTATCAGACCAGGACAATCCAGACCGAGATTCTCGTGTACTGAGCTTTGAGGGCGGCGGTTCTCGTGGACCCCCAAATTCAGACACGGCTAGTCGACTTCTCCCGTCGGCGAATCCGTCGACCACGTCGGCGAAGCATCTGGAGCGCCGAGACTTCTCATCATCACCGTGTGAGATCACCACGATCAGTGTATGTAAGACAGTACTGTCTGGGGTGGTGACCCTTAGTCCCAGCATAGTAATTGTAGGCGTAACTTCAAACTCACCACCTACAAGTTCACCACTCTCGACTCCATCAGACACGACAGATCTCGCCGTACCTACGAGCACATCACTATCAAGCATATCCCTCTTAAGCACATCACTTCTAAGCTCATCACTCTTGAGCTCGCCACCGCTAAGCTCGCAAGACCCAACCGGTCTTGC